CCAGGTCAGCATTTCCGTCAAGTTACTCATATATCTGATAGGAGATCTTCTGCATGTTCCTATTCTTCCTCAGCTTAGCCTTTTCACATCACTGCCCTTCCAACCACTTTGAAAACATGCTGGATACATGTACCTATGTTGAACAAATAGAGCCATTTTTTACACTGTATATAATAGGAGATTCACTGAATTTTTACAGCATGCCGTGCATTAATATTTTAGCAATGAATTCACTACCAATACTGTAATCTTCCCAAAGGAGCTCTTCCACAGTGTCTACCACTAATACACGCCCAAAATAAAAACTCTAAAGAGACTGCCTTGGGTATTATTATTGCTTGGCAAGCAATAATAAGTGCTAAGTTTAAAAAGTAATAAGTATATAAGAGCCTATCTTGGTAGAACACATCTGATTAATAAACATTAATAAATTTCCCCCAAATCAAACAAATTAGAACAAAAAGTTCTGTTGTAGCTGAAAATCCAAAAAAGTAAACTGAAAATAAAGAACTTTCCTTTTAAAATACTTCCTTAATGAATTTTAATTTAAAAATAATTGATCCGGGGGCGGTGGCTCAAGCCTGTAATCCCAGCACTTTGGGAGGCCGAGGCAGGTGGATCACGAGGTCAAGAGATCAAGACCATCCTGGTCAACATGGTGAAACCCTGTCTCTACTGAAAAATACAAAAAATCAGCTGGGCATGATGGCGCGTGCCTGTAATCCCAGCTACTCAGGAGGCTGAGGCAGGAGAATTGCCTGAATCCAGGAAGCGGAAGTCGCGGTGAGCCGAGATAGCGTCATTGCACTCCAGTCTGGGTAACAAGGGCGAAACTCCATCTCAAAAAAAATATATAATAATAATAATAATAATTGAAATTTCTTTCTTTTTTGCCCTCCTACCCTGGAGTGGGGACAGTTATTAACAATCGGAAACTCTTGTTTCTGTTGGTTTGTTTTTTTTTTCAGGTCCTTATCAAAATGAATCCTTATCTAAACATCAAGATGTAAAGATTATCCATTCTGAGAATGTTTTATTTCTCAATATGAAGAAAAGAAACTAAATGTTTCCACAGTTACAGTGAGTATAACTAAATGATATAATTTCCTACATAGGAGGAAGAGCAGATGACAACTGAAAGGGGAAGCTGAAGGAGCTTATAACATTCAGCCTTACCCATGTCAAATTTCCTGTAAGCACATATTAGATTCTAGCCTACTCTTCTTAGACGCTGGGTTAAAAAGGGAAAGACATTATCACAAGATTATCCTCAACACGTGATGCTAAAAAGAAGGCTGTGGCCATACTTTATACAGGATTCAAACTCAAATAGGGAGTTCCTTCATCCATTTCTTCTCTAACATCTAATCTCTTTTAATCAGTCCTTTATAATTCATTTGCCCCTTAATTCACTAACCGTAGCTGCTAAACATTTTTGAAACATATTTTAAAACTGGAGAAGGGAAAAGTACTGTATTGAAAATCTGCATTTACTAAAATGTGTCGCCCTCTGTTCCCCACCCCAACTTCTCAGGATGAAATCTTTTCCCCAACGTCTGCCATCCTTTTCCCAAAAGGCTGCCACGGTTGTCAAGAGAAGCAAAAGGTAAGACAAACTAAGACCCGAGTCTTTATCTGCTGAAAATACACATACAAATAGGTAATACTTTAAAATATTATCTGACCAATCAGGGATGGCAGTCATAAAATTCTCTAGTTAGTTCTACTCACTTACTATGTGCCAGTATAAATCTATCATATGCATATCTCATATAAGCCCTAAAAGGTAAGTACTATTATTATTCCCCTTATCAGATGAAAAAGTTTAAAATTTGGAACTTAGATATAGCAACATGGCCAGGAAATGGTGGAATCCATGCCTGCCTTACTTTGAAACTCAAACTCTTGACCCCAACACTACACAGCTTCTCCAATCAAAACCATTTTTCCTACTAAAAGGAAAGAAGGTTAAAGTTCTTATTCTAATTAGTTGTAGTCAACAAGAGTAATCTAAGGTAATCAAATCATAGTCACTCCATCCTCTTGGAAACACACAGCCCAACTTATTGTAAGTATAAAATGTATGCTGTGTGTATATATGTGTGGGAATTCTTGTCTAAATATAACTGCAGGGCATTTCAGCACTTTTGAGGAGTACTGCACCAGTATTCCTCAAAACTATCAAGGCCATGAAAAACACAGAAAAGTAGGCCAGGCATGGTGGCTCATGCCTGTAATCCCAACACTTTGGGAGGCTGAGGCGGGCAGATCACAAGGTCAGGAGTTTGAGAACAGCATGGCCAACATAGTGAAATTCCGTCTCTACTAAAAATACAAAAAATTAGCTGGGTGTGGTGGCATGCACCTATAGACCCGGCTACTTGGGAGGCTGAGACAGGAGAATCACTTGAACACGAGAAGGGAGGTTGCAGTGAGCTGAGACCATGCCATTACACTTCAGCCTGGATGACAGAGTGAGACTTCATCTCAAACAAAACAAAAGACCCCACACACACAGGAAAGTGAAAAACTGTCACACAAGAGGAGACAAAAAAGACATGACAATCAAATGCAATGTGGTACCTTGAATTAGATCTTGAAACAGAAGAAGGCAATATAAAAACTAGTGAAATCCAAATAAATGCCAGGCACGGTAACATATGCCTGTAGTCCCAGCACTTTGAAAGGTCGAAGTGGGCAGATCACTTGAGGGCAGCAGTTCAAGACCAGCCTGACCAAAATGATGAAATCCCATCTCTACCAAAAATACAAACATTTGCCAGGCATGGTGGCACATGCCTGTAATCCCAGCTACTCAGGAAGCTGAGGCAGGAAAACTGCTTGAGCCTGGGAGGCAGGGGTTGCAGTGACCTGAGATTGTGCCACTGAACTCCAGCATGGACAACAGAGCAAGGCTCTGTCTCAAAACAAACAAACAAACAAAAATCCAAGTAAAGTCCGTAGATTAGTTCAGAGTTACGTACTAATGTTGGTTTCTCATACTTGAGAGATATATTGTGGTAATACGTCTGGTAAACTGAGAAAGGGGTTTGGGAAACTGTTTGGGAACTCTCTGTACTATCTTCGCAACTTTTCTGTAATTATAAAAGTATTCCAAAATAAAGAAAAAGTTAAAGAGTTTATTTAAAAAATCAACATCTCTATATGGAAAGAAATGTGCTACAATTTGATCCTACTTTGGCATTTTATTCTGAATAAAGCAGAGTGTAGGCAAGTGACTCACCCATAAAACCACTTTAATATAAATACATACCAAAGCACGATAAATATGATAAATTATAAATATAAAAGCCCAATATTATTTAATATCTCCTCACATTTGTAACCACATGAATAATTTTAAAACCAGACAGGTATGCTTCTAATATCACATTAATTCTACATGTGAGTCTGAAGGACAAGGGTCCTCTTCCCAACTTTTTGCTGCAGGAGTGCTGCCCTACATATTTAGAACCTCCATTTGTCTATTAGGTTGAGAGAATTTTCTAAGCCTTATCACCCAAAACTCTCTATCGGTTGCTTCTTCTCTAAAAGGAAAAGAAACCAATTCTCCTAAGTGGTATCTCATCATCAGGGAACGGTTTTTACCTGGTAATTCAAATGTGGCCAGTGTTTCAAAATGATTTCTAGATACTGTTCTCTAATTTTCTCTTAACTGTTTTCCAAAGTCACTCCCTTACTCATTCACTTGACAAACAATTACATCACACAGCAGTCTGAATCACAATGAACTTGGATAACAAGTTAAATTACAAATTCAAAAATATAAAAGCAAATTTCGTTGTAATGCTGCTGGCACCCTAGAGAGGTTTCATCATTTCAAAAACAACACCCAAACCAAGGCACTAAGGCCTGCAATCCACCCCACCATTTTATACATAATTCTCTAAATGAGATATGAAAACATTCTTACATAGGGTACCTGAAATATCAGCATTTATTTGTCTTATTTATAATGTTATTCTGGTTTCCACTATATAGTACAAAGGTACTATATAGATACATATTACATATTAAATTTATATATATGTTTAATTTTATATATATATATATATATATATATATATAT